CAGTATTAATTTTATAGTTAGCCTGAAGTTGAAGTTCTCAAAATGTTTGTTCATATAATCTTAATCAGTAACCTTTATTAAAATAAGTCTATCAAACACAAATCTAAATTTTCAAAAAAATTATACCATATTTTACATTTTTTGAAATAATTTCCATTATACATTTATATTAAAAACTTTTTATAAAAATCTATATAAATGAAAAAACTTAAAAAAAACCAGAGAAATCGATAGACTCACTTACAAGGTATGTTTTAAACAAAGTTTATGAAAATTTTTATTTAATTTCTAATTTATATTATATTAATTTTTTATTTATTTTATATTATATTATTATAGCCCTGAAGAAGAAGCAAAAGGCTTCGAAAGCTTGGCCATTGTAAAAGAGCAATAAATCTATAATACTGACTGTTTCCCAGTTATTCGAAAAATAAAAAATAATAATATTTAAATTCTATTAATATTAAACCTATGTACTATAGTTGTTGAGGTGCATAATAAATTATAATTCTTGTTTTATTTCTATTTCCATAGTTGACAACACGGATTAAATTGAACTAGTGGCCTCCACCAATATTCGAGAGTGTTTGATGACACGAAAATAGCGGGCGGTAAGTTCAACTTACCGCCCGCAAACGCGGGCGGTAAGTAGTACTTACCGCCCGCTCGTGCATAAAAGTTTTTGTTTTCATTAGTTTCTCGCCTTAATAATGGGGAGAAACTTTGACTACTCTTTGAACAAATGATAATAAAAAAATATTTCGCAAATTATTTAATAATACCTACTGCAATAAACTATAGTTGCAGTAAACAAGGAAAGCATTGAATTATAAAGTCCAAAATAAAGGTTACTGATTAAGATTATATGAACAAACATTTTGAGAACTTCAACTTCAGGCTAACTATAAAATTAATTTAATTAAATTCTCTGTGTCCGCCATTTTCAACAATACAGGTAATATATCTTACTTGTAAATGTGTTATCGCATTTAACACGTAATTAGGTTGATCTGACAAATATAGCAACAGAGCGTCACGTTTCATTTTTTGTTTTTATCCAGATTTCTCGCCTTTTATATTTTAATAATGGGGAGAAACTTTAACTACTTTTTGAATAAATAATAATAATAAAAAGCACTATTTCATCTAATCTAATGCAAAATTGGACATTGTTTTTTATTCATCAGGGATGACATGAAATATTGTGCTAGAACTGAAGATAATCGCCAATCAGGCCAAAATGGGTGCATCACAGACCCATGTCCAGTATATCGTTGAATTTGTATTTTAAAAGGCTATCCAAAAATTCGAAAATTTACAGGATGTCCCATTTAAAAAAAATTGAAAAGCGTAACATTTTGCTAAATTTCAGTATAGTCTAAAAAAGAGCATCATTTTATAAAAAATATCACGCAAAAAAAAAGTTTCAAAAGTTTATGAGTAACGTAACAATGCCTGTTCAAAATTACCCTGAATCCCTGAAGATAATCGCTAATAAGTTCGAAACGGTTTATCACAGACACATGTCCAGTATATCGTTGGATTTGTCTTTCAAAGGGTTATGTAAAAGTGTATTACGATATAGGGTGTTCCATTTAAAAAAATTAAATTTTATCTCTCCACCCTGTATATAGTACAGTAACAACAAAAACAATGAAAAAAAAAATGTAGATAATTTTATTAGAAACAACTTTTGTATTTAATTTTTTTTTGCAACCCTTGTAGATTTCGAGATAAGGTATAGGCCCCTCTTAAACGGGCCACCCTGTACAGTGTTTCCGCTTCAGTTCGCAACATATGGGAAACTTTTTTATTATCAATTTTACAAAAAAAAGTTATTGTTTATGAAAGTTTCTGCTTCTTGAAAAAATATGTAGTATTAAACTATTAAAACTTAGAATAGCATGTACCGGGTGTTCTTTTATCTTTGATATCATTTTGATCACCTATAACTTTTTTGTTTTCAAAGATATCAAGGTAAACAAAAAAACAAAATGTAGGATTAATAGCCAAGTTTTTTTTCAAGTTACACATGAAACAAAACATCAAAACACTATCAATTTTTCGACATATAAGCCTACATTATATTTTTTTTATTTTGGTTTCATATCGAAGTCTTTTCGACACTAAAAGTAGTTTCGAAAAGAAGCTCTTTGTGACACCCCTTTTTCACTTATCGGAAGTTGGTAACACTGGCTGACTGATGGCCATCGCACTGTCATTCTCGATTTTATAGAAGATTTAGGGCGAGTATTATAAAACTGCTTTGACAGTTAACTTAAAGTTAACTTTTTGAATTACATGTAATTTCAAAAATTAACTTTAAGTTAACTCTCAAAGTAGTTTTATAATACCCGCCCTTGATTCTATATTTGGCATGTAATGTTACCAACCTAAACATGAAATCAGGAAATATGAGAATAAAATTTGCAAGAAAAATTTGTTTTTTTTTTAATTAAACAATACCAGAATAGAAAAAATAGTATAAAATATTCGTTTCATAAGACATTTTATCGCACTCGTCCTTTAAAAATCTCGCCTCCGGCTCGTTTTCTAATATAGGGCTCATGCGATAAAATCACGTCTTATGAAGCTTGTATTTTAATAAACTATTTTTAAATGGAACACCCGGTATATTATATGTGTGTACGTTAGAGGATATTATTCTGATTACAATGATATAACACACTTCATATTTTGTTCCACTCGTTTTTGACAAATCGGCAAAAATATATGAAATTTTTATATGCTCTCAATAATTTTCGTCCCAAATATCAGACCGCGCCGCCTAATAAGTTTCATATTTTTGCCGATTTGTCAAAAACGAGTGGACCAAAATATGAAGTGTGCTATATCATTGTAATCAGAATAAGATATTATATCGAACACATATATAATATACAGGGTGTTCCATTTGAAAAAATATAATGTAGGCTTATATGTCAAAAAGTTGATAGTGTTTTGTTTTACGTGTAATTTGAAAAAAAACTTGGCTACTAACCCTACATTTTGTTTTTTTGTTTACCTTGATAACTTCAAAAACAAAAAAGTTACAGGTGATCAGAATGATATCGAAGATAAAAAAACACCCGGTACAGGGGGATTAAAAAATAGGAAAATATGCAGGGTTTTTTGGTAAAAGTAGAAAAAAAAATGGCACATCACTATTTTTTTAAACCTTTGATATTTTTTCAGATTAAGCAAGTCATATTTCAGTCAAAAGAAACCTTTCGTTATCACAAATCAACCTGCCAAATTTAAAAAAAAAAAAAAAAATGGAAAAATTTTTGAGCTGAAAAAACGATTTTTTCTAAAACTTTGACACCCTGTATCTCAGAAACTACGCATTTCTGGTCACATATTTATGGGAACTTTTTTTGTTAAAATATCGTAAGGAATGACATCCTGAAGTTACGGACCGTACTTAGGAAATACCCTGTATATTTTTCTATTTTTTGACCACCCTGTACATGCTATTTCAACTTTTAATACATAGTTTGATATTATTTTTTCAAGAAGCAGAAACTCTTATAAAGGATAACTTTTTTTCGTAAAATTGATAATAAAAAAGTTTCCCATGTGCTGCGAACTTAAGTGGATACACTGTATTTTATGAGAAAATTTCATGAATCAAAAATTCAAATTTTTTGTCAAAACACCAGTTCTCGCATTAGTTACTATGCAATAATTTACACTAATATAAATTATCACGTAATTCCAATCTGATTGGTTCAAATCAACAATCAAAACATGTCAGTTTATTGTTGGTATATCAATTTTGACAAATGTATGAAATTCTTATCAAAAAAACGGCCACTAAAATCAAAAATCGACGTATCCGAGATTTTTTGAAAAAAAAATCAACCTTGTATTTTTGATGGATTTTATTCCTAACCTTCACGTACTAACTGTATTTAACTATGCTATATGATATCCTCTTTCGTTTATTGAATTCTAGTAAAGTTATCTTTGTTCGTTTTGAGTTCATTATGAAATATATTCACCATAATTATTTACACAAACTAATAACTGGCCTTGCAGTCCTCTCGCGTCGTGTAATTTTTACTTACCCCGGTGCGAAATTAAATCCGCCAGAGGCAGCACGTCGCTGCAGCCAAAATTTTTGAATTTCCGTGTTTGCAGGGCTTACAATTTGAGACGAGATCTCAAAAACTACTTAATATTTTTGAGTGAATCAAGAAGATTCGAAAAGATAATAAAATTTAGAACAATGCTCTTGTTTCATTTTTTTTTAAAAAGCGATGGGTTTGGATGTACCGAGCGATAGAAATGATGCTTTTTTTCGAGTATTTAGGTCGTGATATTTTCAATTTGCAATTTTTTTTTCGAAAAACTAAAACAACAGCATTATTCTTTAGATTTTTATCTTTTATTATTTTCTAATCCGGTCAAAAAATATTACAAAATAAGTGAGTTCTCGTCTCAGGAAATTAACCCTTTTTCTCAATTTTTAACGGCTTGTTGTTGGCCTCTTAATAGGTAGGTATTGTGAATTTTAGAGCAAAGGATTTTGAATAAAATCTATCGGTCAATATCCAAAAAAAAATTGTTCAATAGGAAAAATACGTTACGGAATAAGTTCAGAAAAAAGCCTTTCAGCTTCGAAAAGTGACACCGTGAAAAATTATGATTAGAATAAAGTAAATTTCTTTTCTTCTTTGAGTTACTAATAGTTTTTTACTCTTTCAAAAAATAAAATATCACCCTAATCAAGTCAAAATATGGTTTCCATGCATTTCAAACATATTTTTTTTTAATAATCTCTGAAGGGAAAGGGTATATGATATAGACATTTTATTATGATAAATATAATGAATTTTTCATGAAAATCTGGTATTTATTGAAAATTTGGCCAATTGTTTGCGTTTTTATTATAAAACAAAATTAATTTATCGGAAATTTGCGCATGTTTCTAAGATAAATGATGATAAGAAAATGTCTAAAGTTGTTTTTATATAGTTGATGCACTTTCAATAGTCGAGATAAATAACCGCAACGCAACGTGTGTATCGCGATTTTTTCAATACCGGCTATTATTTAAAGAATCCTGGCAAAATTATTAAATTTAATTTAATAATTCAATATAACTACAAACTTCAAAATTGCATCATTATTATTAGCTCTTGAATATATTGTACAAAATGGAGGCTCCCATCCCATCAATAGTGTTGTGCTTTGTTTTAATTATGACTTTTCCTAATTCGGTAAACGGCGGTAGCCCTAAGGGTAGCCCTTTCAAACCTATAGAATTCGACTGGATCAAGTTATTGGAACATACAGGATTTATTTTATTTGTTTTTTTATTTTTCGTAATGTTTGTAATATGTTGGTATGTGAAGTGTTGTTACGAGCCATCCAGATTAGAACCACCAATTATTGAAACGTAAGTAGGTACCAAAAATAACAGTTTAGGGTTATTCTATGACTTTAGGGTTATTCATTTGCCACGTACGCCTAATGTGTGAAAATGGCATTAAACAGTAATATAATGTTCTTCGTTTCTTCTACCAATAAAGAATTAGGTATTATAAGTTTTTAATACAAGGAGGAACTTCTCAAGAATTTATTTCATGATCATTCTGTATATTATTATATACCTACATTAAACACATAGATACTAAATTTGCAATCGGTACTGAAACGAAGCAGGATATATAGGTGCCTGTGCTGATTTGTAATGAATATATAATATGATCCAATACATTTTGAGAGGACTCTTAGAGCAGCAAAGTAGCGCCAAACCTACACACATTGCTACGTCAAAACAAAACATAGCTCTTGCTCAATATTACAAAAAGCAGAAATGGTCAGTTTGAATCCAAGTACACGGCATACTTATTAGTCGTCATCTCTCAAGAGACCCAATTCAAAAACATCTTTATTTTTCCCCTGCATAGTAAAGGTACTCAGGGTTTACCATTACAATATGCAAATTTCGCTACGCTTGCAAAGGCCCATTTATTGCAGAAAGTTCTGCAACAGCTACCGCACATTTGCTGTAGTATTTAGAGAACAACCGCTCGAATATCATCTCTAAGCAACCTTATCTTTTGATGTAGCCCCATCAGGAAAAGTCTACCGGTGTTAAATCTCACGACCTAGGCGGCCACTTCATGTCTTTTCGACATTTTCACTTTTCAGCAGCACCGTCAATGTTTTCTGCTGACCTGGCAACCTCACTAACTTTGCTAATTTGCTCACATTTCCTGAATATTTCATTCCGACTGAATACACTATACAAACTGTCCCCACAACATAAATATTCTCCATGTTTCCTTCTCGTCAAACTCCCATACTCTATTTCAATTAATTTCCAATAATCAATTTGCGGAAATCGATAATGATCTCTTGATTTGAAAGTACCTAGTTTCCAGTTTAAATAAGGAAATTTATTCTGTACTAGGGATTTCGTGAACTGTTTAAAGCGTGTTTCACTCAAAGACGAAGATTGAAGAAGCGATTTGGCATACAAAGTCACAATTACTTTTCCACCGGCAACAGGTTTTTGAATATCTCGACAGTCCGCGTCATATCACTGCTGACTCATGAATTTGCTAGGTGAAAACATCGCAAGTTGCAGAGAATGTTGGCACAACCATCAATCATCGTCCGAAGGACTATAGAAAAGGCTACTCACTCCGCATGTGTCATTATAATAATAGGAGAAGACATAGATGTTTTGATAATTATTACTGCGTTCATCCTCTATTCCCCGAGCCGAGACATTTCAAAATGTTAAATAAAGTGAAAGAAAATATATTATTCCTTCGTGCATGCAACGTCAGCCATTTTCAGGCAGGGGAAGAAGAAGTTTGTAAATCTGCTTGACAAAGATGCGGAGGTACAACCAAAGTCTTACAACGGACTGTCGCTTTATTCAAAAATCTGGACGCAACTGCAGATGAAATTGGTGCTGCCGGTGAAAAAGTAATTGCGGCTTTGTATGGCAGATAGCTCCTTCAATCTTCCACTTTGAATGAAACACGCTTTAAACTGTTCACGAAATCCTAAGTACAGAATAATTTGAACTTGGCGACTCTGTCTCCTACTGAAGGAACTGCTAGACTGTATGCAATACAAGATACAAGATAATATTGCGAAAATAAGTGAAAACACACATTTTTTTTTTAATGGAAAATATCGTCGCTGTTTAGCTTCGCATATTTTCATAACTACGTGAGACAAAATTGAGTATATATGATACTCATTCGACGCAGAATTTTGGGTACTTTAATTTATAGAGGAGTAAAAATGTCCTAGAAATGCATCCTTTAGGAGTTATTAGGGATAAACTGAGAAAAGTCAGGAAATGCCCAGGTTTTTGGGACTTTGTCCAACTTTAAAAAGCTCTTTCTACACTTACCTAAATGAGATGGTGTACACCATTTCCAGCTTTCCGAGAATTAATTCGGCTACATCCCCTTATTTGGCTTATGTTGCCTGGCCTATTAGCTTTTTTCTATAATAAAAGTCCCAATTCATCATGACATGTTATTGAATTCAGTCGGCCCCTACAGCTTCTTCTGAAGTAGTGTGCATTTTATTTTATCGATTCCAATATGTTGAATGAGAAGCTCTTTAGTTACGATATAATATACACATCATAATATATTTAGAATTAGAAACCGTAATAAGACAATAAACAATTCACCCAATTTTTGCATTTTTATTTGTTTTAAGCTAGCAACGAAAATTCAGTTTAATTTATCAACAGCAATTTTCCACTCGCTTCAGATCTCGATCCATAATATCACGAAAGAACATATGCTTCATTATATAGAGCTACTTACATTATACTTGCATGTGGTAGAGATATCTATCGTATACATATACTTGCGTATAATTTGATTGCATCAAAGGTACTTAACAGGTATTATTTTCTGTTTCAGTGATGAAAAATCCGTCTATGATCGGACATCAATGATGACTTCCACGAGTAAGTAAACCTTTTAATATTTTCACATTAAATTAGTGATGAGCGATATATCACGAACTGTGATTTCATCACTGATACCTGAAAATCACAGATCACGACTGCTACCAAAGTTCTATAAAAAGCGTGACGTGATCACGGCAACGTAGCAAACTAATTTCTTGTTTTTAAGGAATAATTTTTCCTTTTTGTAATTCCAAATTCCAAATTCCACCGCAAATTCCATATAGTCGTGATTTGCCGTCGCGATATATTTGGTAGATTTTAGCTGCCAAATATCTCAACCGCTAGTAGAAAAAAAATTGCATCTGTCTGCATCAGTTTCAGTTGTACTAAAATATATTTGAAGACGTGATTAAGTCACGCTTTAAAATCACTGATATTCAAAAATCACGGCATCTTTGCATACGCTATTTTGTGTGATTTTTTTTTTTAAATTTGAATAAATAAGTGTAGAAATGTTGCCCAGTACTTAGAAACTAGATCAGAAAAATTGAAAACAAAAATATTTATTATTGGCAAAATCTCAGTGGCATCCGGCATCGATTTCTGAAAGGTACAGGTTGTCCCATCTAGAAAAATTCAGCTGGTTCTCACTCTGATTTTGTATTAGCCACCCTGTATAGCAAAACATTTCCTTAATGTTTTCAGCCACTAAATAACTTTTGGCTTACCTTGTTTTTTCATCGTAACACCTTAGAAAATATCGAGAAACTGAACTATCAATGACATCATAAAACTCATTTGACCTTCATCATCCTTGCCTGGCATAGTCATATAGGCCTTGCGGTGCAGCTTAGCCCTTTTGGCCTTTTGCTATGCATAGCTCCATCTATGTCACGGTAATGTTACGTCAATATATCAATAATTGGGCCTTAGTGGTAGGTACCCATTGTCGTATAATAACATAATTGGAAATTACGCACTAATTGGAAACGCAGTGTGTATTTATTTATGTTTTGTTTTCGTTCATTTTTAAAGTACACGAAGAGGGTTCCATGAGTGTGAAAAAAAAGCGCAGATTCACTAAAAATGTTCTTTCAGATTCAGTTCGGGAAGATGTGTCGGTGTTGACTATAGAAAACGAAACCGGATGCCAACCACTTCTTCATCAACAAAGTGAAAAGAATAAGGCATCCGTTTTAAATTGTTGTAACCGCAACTAAATAATGTAAGTACTTACCTAAATCTACTTTTTTTCTCTATTTGAAATTATTCTGATTTTGCCGGGTTTGCACGGCCATATATAATACATATTGGTGTAAAGTATACGGGGGTGCGACGATGTCATAATAAAGTTGGGGAAATTATGTACAATCTGACGGCCCGTGTGGTACCAACCCCTCACCCTTAAACAAGGCCTCACCAAATAGAATTTCTGTCGTACTTATTGATGTCGATCCACCCCTGTATACTTGAGTTCGCCGGAACTTCCGAGACTTTAACGTAACCTTGATGGAATCATCGAAATTCTGTAAGTTATCTGAAAAATTACAGAAAAGTCCGGTAATGTTAGTGCGGGAGAGTCGTCAATCAGATATTTCGGTAAACATACTACAGATAGATATTTTTCTTCGGACATCATGACCGTCGTAGGTTGAAATTTATTCCAGATATTTTGCTTAGACGAGCGTGGGTAGCTCCTCCTGGATGCAAACTGTCGAAGATGAAAGCATATTTTGTACCTTTTTCTTTTTCCGTCCGTTTGGGATTATTTGTTTGCTCCTTGAATAATCTTTATTCTTGAGTCCTCTCTTCTCTCACGCTCTAGCCAGCTTTCTGGACATAGGTTATTCCATGTAGCTCTCCAAATCTTCTGCTAGAAGACCTAAAAATCTGTTCATTGTGAACTCCAGTTATATTTCCATTTTTTGAGTGACCTTCCTAATGGTGGCTAAGGTCGGTTTTTCATTTATAGCTAGTGCTATATCGCTTCATGTATTTCATGTATACATTTTGTAGACCTGGGAGAACAAAGACATTGTTTGAGTTCTTGATATCCTCTTTCTTCGTTTTGTTTCTTACATTCCAGCAGGGCCGTAGCCAGGAGGGGCATTGAGGGCAATGCCCTATCTTTCAAATGATCATGCCCTACCAAACACAAGATGCGTCAAGGTTTCTCTAGGAAATTTAGGAGTAGATGACTAGGCCTGAAATCGAGTAAGTACGAGGAGGATAAGTATTTCCGAAAACGCCTAAATGTATATGCAACAATGTTTGACATTGACACAGAGGAAGTTTTTCGTTTCGGAAGAGTGCGAATGAAAGGATAATACACGCTAGTGTCTTTGCCGCTAGGTACTACACAGGATTGCTTATCAGCCTCGTTTGTGGAAATCGCGGCCATGGTGTAGTACCATCGACGATATCATCAACTACGTCGTCAGCTGTTTGCGCCAGCGGTCGTGGTTTAGAATATATATTTATCATGAAAAATGTGATTTAATTTTAATTAGCATAATAAGCAACGAGGAAGATGCAAACAAGATCTAAAAAAGCGTTGTTTTAGAATAATAATTAATGTACTAAATCCAAGTATGCATAAAGCAAAAGCCCGCGAAATCATAACCTGTGGTGCAAACACCCTACGTCAAGGCGAGAAACGACACGCTGCCTACGTCATCACTGGTTTTTTGGCGTGGTGGGGGGCTTGATATTTGATCTACACAGGCCTTATTAGGATAAGCTATTCTTTAGTAGTACTTAGTGTGTATTATCCTTGGTGCGAATGGTCAAAGGCGGCGCGGCACGAGAATCAGTGACATTTTGTTTACTTTACAGATATGTATTTATTGGAAAATTTGCTTTACCCCCATTACCCCCATGTCCCCCATTTTGTTCACCTATGAAAAATGTAAGGGAGGAGGGCAAGTAGTGTATGCCCTAGGTTAAAATTGTCATGCCCTATCACAAATTTGACTCTAGCTACGGCCCTGCCTTCCAGATCTCATAAATAAATCTTAATGCGTACTTAGAATTGTGCCTACTAGTCTCTTTAAAACTCTGTTACTATTTCAGTTATTTTTTTCTTGTCTCTATTTCTATCCACTTCTGTCTCTCGTGGAAGGTATAATCGTTTTCATTAATGCTGGTTTCAGACACTTCTGCAGAATAGTCCAATTCTGCAAGAGTTATCAAAGTTACGAAAACGCTAATAAATAGTCTATCTTGCGTCATTAATATCCACTAAGAGTTCAGCAACCGAGAGTAGAGGTGTCACTTGGGTCTTGGTTCTTGCATTTCTTTCTTTTCGATATTTTTTGATAAGAAAGTTAGTGAGTTGAAAGTAATTTATCGCTGAAATAATCTAGACATTTCTTGTTGCTTCCGATTACTATTCTGTCTATCTATTTTAGTTGTGTCTTCTCAGGTTTTTTTCTTCTTTATTATTTCATTGATCAGCCCTGGGCGTCCAATTCCACTAATAATTGATAAATGCTATTCTTATATTTAGATGTTATATTGTTTTCTAAAAATGTTTATGCATAATCATCCATATATTTGTTGAATCTATCAAATCTGTAAAACATAGGCGTGATAACTGATAAGAAGGATAAGACCACAGCCTCCTACACTTAACAAGCCATGAAGTTAAAAAGGCAACACCGCAATCATACCGCCAAGTGGTGCTGGTGCTGTTTGTTTTTATAAATATATATTTTTTATTTTGTTAATATGAATGACAAAAAATGCATAATTTATTGTACTAAAGGGCCAAAAACAGTAATTCAATGAATAATATAACTATTTGTGTAAATAATAACAGTAAATAGTTGATTTAAATGAATATATTTCCAGATTCTAAAGTGTTATAAGCCTATGTTTCAGTGTGTCTTTTGAAAATCTAACTGTTTCTTTCTTCGGGATTTTTTCGGAAGGCAGGTCCATTCAAATACTTGAGCTGATTTTTGAAAATAACAGGTACTTTTAAGAGTTGGACGTTTTAGTTTGAACTCTCGAATTACTCCTTTATCCTTGTTTGTTTCAAATCTAATTAGGTAGGTATTTCGGTTTCTTCAAAATGTTTACAACACACCACAGAATTTTTCGTTATTGTATAATCTCGGGTATAATTATTCTGGTGTATTGCTTTCATCCACAACTTTTGCAATTCAGAATTTTTTTGGAAATGAAAATGTTTGCATTACTCCAGTTTTTAAGGAAATCCTATAGTTCGTTTTGCACCCAGGAACACAGTAGTTTCATGGCATCGGGAACAAGTTTAAATATCTTAGGTAATATATCGAGAACTATGCTCTTGCACACAAATATTAATATTGTTTTTATTGTTTTACCTTACCTTACCTTCATTTTTGCTCCTGTAAGTCCTGTACCCATTTGCTAAAAATTTGCAATCAAAGCACAAAGGAACAGGTATCAACTAAATATGGGCAATATATCGGTGTGTTTCTATCCACTTTTTCGTCAATAATGCCCACAAAAATACTAAATTGCAACAATAAACAATGAACGCAATACACAGAAACACATAACCCCAATAACAAAACAGCACCATACGCGACGTTGCCGTCATTTCCAACTTCATGGCTTGTTAAGTGTAGGAGGCTGTGATAAGACCAAAAAAATATAGACATGGGCGGTACCCACAAGCGGTAGCACGCCTCCCAAATTGATCATTATAAGGGATATTCGGAATACCTACGACCAAGCGAGGCGCAAATGATATATTCTCCTTATTAGGACTTTTGTCGAAAATCGTCCAAAAATAGCAACTTTATTGCCCAAAATCGATTTGTCGGATTTGTTAAACGTTTTTAAAGGACTTATGGCAAGATTACTATCTTATTTAAAATTTAAACCATTTGCCAGGAACAGTGTGGCCCATCATATAAATAGGCGTTGCGTGTATAGAATATTATAGGTACAGAATAGGTACCTAATATTATGTTGATATGAATCAAGTAATCTGCTGTTTTTGATGTAGACCTGTGATAAGCTATCAGAAAAGTATAGTCTATTGATAACAAATCAGGCGATCCTGAATATCTTGTTTAGAGAATGAATAAAGCATTCGGGATACAGTTAAGTTTATAAAATTAGCCATTTGAAAACAAAAGATGAACTTAAAATGGGACAACAGCCCCATGTTTGATTTGGATTTTTTTTTACTTAAAATAAAATATAGTTTAACTAAGCGTTAGGCAAGTGATTTTGGTCATAATACTCATAATACTTGTGGCTCGTATCCTCACATTGCTGGCATCAGCTAGAACGTGACAAATTTTAAATTTTTTAAAAGATCACTATATTTAAATTAATAATATGTAGGACAAACTTAAGCGCAACAAAGATGAAAAGTCAAGTACTTACGAAATATATTATTATATTGATGGATTAATTATAGAAATGCTGGTGAGTTTACAAAAATATGCCTTATCAGTCATTGAATTCTTATCAATCAGCTGCAAATAACTCTTCTTTCCTATTCGCAATATTATATTGCAAGGTCAAACACAATTTCAAGGTTTCCTTATCGAAATTAGTTGTAAACATTATGAATAATAAATTCAAATAGTAAAACCACAATTTGAAACTTCCGTTTTCTAAATATTTAGGAAACGATGTTTTGGTCCGAACTGGATAAGATCCAGTACGGTGGATCACTGAACGTTATCACACTTGCACAAAATCGCAGTTTTAGTTTTACTACAAGTTTATTGTTGTCTACCTTTAAACTTTCATTTAGAAAAAAACAACTTGTTGCCATCACGCCTATATTGGTACATAATAAAAGAAATTTTGAAGAAACCGTAAAACTGATAAAAAAGCTCAAAGAAAGGAAAGGATGCAAAATGGCAACCTTGACCGTACTGGAGTTATTTGAATCGTCAACTAAAGCAATATTTTTCGGATTTTCAACATAACATTAAAAGCGAAAGAAAATTTTAGGCATATACGATAAAAAAAATTTTTGGGTTTAGGGTTTTTCGAAACTTGTAAATTTATTTAGGCATTCATTTTCAAGCAGACGACATACAGAGCACAAAAATATTAGGATTTGAAAAAAGACATGGATGTCGAAAGCATTGGCATCTGCAGTCGTTATCTATCATTCGCATGATAACGAGTGCAAATAAAAGATAGAAGAAACTATGCGACACTGAAATCAAAAGGTAATGGAAGTCCAAAGTTCTCATCGAAGCATTATCTTCAATCAAACCAAGCACATACTTGCATCAAGATTACAGAAGAAAAATACTAAAATTGGTTACGACCTAGAAAGTTCCAAAAGACTGGATTAGCTTTCAGGTGAAGCTAATTATTCCTGGCAAATATGGTTCCGCAAGATTAAAAAGTTTTAAGCCGGGTCCAGACCAATAAATTTGTGTGTTGAATGTCGTATGTTGATTTCGACAAAAATATTTTTTTGTTGACTTTTTCGCGCAAATAATATTATGTGCGCGGCGTTGGTATATTTTTCTGCGATCCATTTTCGTGCGCCGTGCGTGGTTTCACTACTACCACCACTCTGCCTTCTATACTGGAAAAGTTTTGTTGTCCAGTAACGTCTATGTTTACCATTTTCCCTCTTATTATTCTTATGTCGTAGGTAATTCAGTATTATAGGTATAAACTGCACACTTTTTTTTAATACTAAGTTGGGAATACATTATAGCACAGAAACACTAACTAGAGACAAAAATATTCCATAAAAATACTTTAAAAAAATAATTTAAGTCCACATCAACACAAGCGTGCAACGCAAAACTTTTTGATGTTTGTCGAAAAACCGACAGACCGCGGATAGCGTGTGTTGTATCTGGCGGACATATTTGCGTGGTTCTTTGTCCGGCGCACAGTCCATACCTATAAATATTTTGCTGAACAAATTTGCGTCAAATACAACGCACAACGTAAATATTTATTGGTCTGGACCCGGCTTTAGAAGATCTTCTAGCAATCGAATTTCAAAGGGAGTTCATACATTTTTTCGCCGCAAATTGATGAAAAGTAGTCTTGAAGTAACCTGAGTCCTGAAGTGCGTGAGTTTATGAGAAAGACGATTTTAACTACTAAAAATCAAGTTGACAAAGAAAACAAAAATGAAGTCCAATCCACTAATGATTATTTTAATTTTGATTCAGACATTTCTGATCATGACAACGAAGATAAAAAAATTCTTGGTCTGGATCTGGAATGTAAGTTGATCCTCTTTGCTCTTGGGATAGGAAGAAAAAAATCAGAGCGAAATCGATTTTGAAATAAAATTGCCAGTGAAAACAAAAAACAAGTTTAGGTAACGAGAATAATGCCCCATGTCATTATATTACAGTCCAATCTATGCCCTTCCAAAGTCTAGAGAAAATGTCAGCAGTACAAAAAAATATTAGAAACTGACACTGGAGACTAATGAGATAGTAATTTGGAAAATATAGGAACTTGAAATACTGTTTAAATTCGAAGTAGCTATTCAGTTGTACGTTCCGTAAATCAAACTTGAAATTAGAAATACCGTAAAATACCTACTATTTCCCCGTATTTTTGACAATACTCTGCAATGAACTTGTCCTTCCAAAACCTAAAGAAGATTCCAGATGTGCAAAATATGGAGACACACAGATTGCGAGCTTATAATCTTATATGCGATATTTGTAAGGACTAAAAAAAAGAGATAGAACTTTACTATTTTTACCACATTGCAGGCCTTATTTGTCGAGGCGTTGTAATCTTCTTCTTCTTCTTCTAACCAAAAATGTTGTGCTAACATTTGAGGCATTATCCAACTCTTGTTTAGATAAACAACCAAAGGATTGTCTTTCTTTGGATAATTTTGAATTTAATGAGAATCGGATCATATATCAACAATTTATCTTGTTTCTGATAAGTAGCAAGAAAGTTTTCTTAACGTTAAATAAGCTCTTCTACTATTTTTCTTATCGAAAGGAAATTCAGGTAGGCAAATGATTCCATATTGTAGGTATTTCTGAAATACTGTAGGGATATTTTTGAAAAAACAAAATCCTACAAAAACATTGTTTTAACTAAAATGGTATACGATTTATTATAGTTATTAACGTTATAAGGAGGATCATAATCATTCAAGGCTTTTATTTGCAGTTATCGGCAGTGTTTCGTTCTAAATTTTTCGTTATACTGCGAATATTTTTCAATCTGACAAAAAAAAAACACTCACCCGGCCAGCGGCCGTTATTTTACCGGCCGGCGGAAAATTAAGCGAGCACGGACTTGCCTAATGTGCGAGGAAGTTGTAAATTGCATCGAAAACTACCCCTTTCTTGCATTCACTGTAATTTCTAAACAGGGCCAAATATTTGGTGACAGTTTTCAACAATCGGCAGCCCATTTATCCCTCTCATATTGCCCCAGCAGATTTTTTTTTCGTTAATTACTCAATGACCTATTGGCCTGAACAGGTCGCGCGGAATTTTTCAAAAAATCAAAAAAAAAAATTAAAATTGTCGCACAGCGCTGAAATTTGGTACGATGGCTTTATTGATTGTTCTCATGAATATACTGCAATTCTAATTGTTACATGTGAAGCAATTAAAATTGCAGTATATTCATAAAAACAATAAATAAAGCCATCGTACCAAATTTCAGGGCTGTGCGACAATTTCAATTTTTTTGACTTCTTGAAAAATTCCGCGCGACCTGTTCAGGCCAATAAGTCATTGAGTAATTAACGAAGAAAAAAATCCGCTGGGGCAATATGAGAGGAATAAATGGGCTGCCGATTGTCGAAAACTGTCACCAAACATTTGCCCCATTTAGAAATTACAGTGAATGCAAGAAAGGGGTAGTTTTCGATGCAATTTACAACTTCCTCGCACATTAGGCAAGTCCGTGCTCGCTTAATTTTCAAGCAAAAAATTTGAACAAAAAAGCATTGGAGAGTGCATTTCATTAGCAATAATGTGGTGTTTGAAAAATTGAAATCGGATTATGCATTTGGCCGCTGCTGCATCAACTGCGCGTAAGCAGGTAAAACGTTGATTCAGTGACCTTGAATAAAAACATGCTAATATTCAAGACGCTGCAGAAAAAAAACTATAGAAGATAGAAGGGTGCTGTCGCTAAGTTTTTTATAGCAAAAAACTTCAGCTACAACAATCATTTGAAACTTTTTGCTATTGGACCATCCCTTTGAGCAGCGTTCTCCATAAACCGCAAATTACCCCTAAAAACCACCCCTAACAAAAAACCCTATGGAAGTACAAGGTCGCAAACTTAATATGTTATTAAGCACATGAAAATTAACCGATCCCCCCAAAAAATGTTAACTTCTAATTAAGTTGAGGTAAACTTCCTTCATTGCTTGGCCTAATGTACAGTATCACGAAAAAAACTTAATATTGTACGTACTTTATTCTGTTTATTTGCATTTTTATCAAAATAGATAAAAAATGCCAACTTAGTTACTAGATCATTAATCTCTCCAACACAAAATGTCTAACGTCTAACGAAGTTATTTTTTTTTCCAGGAGTAGTTACAGGAATCTCATCCTTCTTTCAGTCTCGACACATGAAACTTATCTCAAAGTGCATTAAAAAGCAGATAGGAAGCATACCTAAAAAGCAGCACTGGTCACTGATTACGTCAGCAAAATAGTCTACGTGGATAACATATATAGTCGTCTTTGGGTGAACAAATAAAATTGGTGAGCCTTCAAATTTAGTACAGGGTATTTGATTATATTTGGCACCATATCTACAGCCTTTATTATTTAAGATAGAAAAAAAATTTAAATACAAAACTTGACAGTTTTTTTCTATATTTTCTTTCAACATTATCAGAAAAAACAAAATCGCATCGGAAAAGGGAGAAACTTAGACAACTTCAAGTTTTTTAATGGAACACCCTGTATATTTTGCGATAAAATGAAAGATCTTTTCTTCCTGATTCCAAATATATATATATTGATGACATTTGGATGAGCCGTTTTTGATATATCTTAGCTTGAATAATAAATAAAATCCAAAGAAATTTTTAAAATATTTGAATGTCTTGACATCCTTATGAAATTTCTGTGTAAATTAACTATAATTTAAGCTAAAATATGTCAAAAACTACTCACTCAAATGTAATAAATATATATATATTTGGAATTAGGAAGAAAAAATCTTTCATTTAATGGCAAAATATACAGGGTGTTCCATTTAAAAAAGTCGAAGTTGTCTACGTTTCTCCATTTTTCGATGCGATTTTGTTTTTTCTGATACCGTTAAATAAAAATATAGAAAAAAACTGTCAAGTTTTGTATTTAAATTTTTTTTCTATCTTAAATAATAAAGGCTGTAGGTATGGTGCTAAATATAATCAAATACCCTGTACATGCCACTTTTTAACTATATATTATAGATACATACCTTTGCATTGCTTATACTTAGATATCGGGTCTTCAAAAAAAAAAAAATAATCAAAGATTGCTTTGAATACGAAAACGTATGTCGTATGTCCATTGTATCTTTATTGGTCTGGATTTTTGACATGACATTTTGACATTAAAGTTCATTGACAAAATTGAAGAAAAATAATGCTAAGACATACGCTTAAAAAACCCATAGCAGTATTTGATTTTTTTTTTTTTGAGACCCGTTCGTTACCTAATCAAACCAAAGTTAGGAAATTCGGTGAATGCGACCTAAACTGATAAATGCTAACGTTGCTTGATAACCTTATGTAGAATACCGTCACATATTACGGGTTCACTAAAACTCACTTCACAAACAGTATCAACTTTTATTAAACTACACCTTTTCCATATGTATTTCAAAGATCGTCAGTTTAATTTCAGAATGCGTCAATTGAAATTCAGATTAGTAAATTGTATTTCGGAAAGCGTCAATTGTATTTCAGAATAAATAATTTTATCTGGGAAAGAATCAATTGTATTTCAGATTAGTTTATTTTATTTCAGAAAGTGTCAATTGTATTTCAGATTAGTTAATTTTATATCAGAAAGCATCAATTGTATTTCAGATTAGTTGATTGTAGTTCAGAAAACGTGAATTGTATTTCAGAAATTGTCAGATGTAGTTCGGAAATTAGTAGGTATCTACGCAGATTTATAAATTTTATTTAATACACTACATTGATAATATCTGAAATACATTTGACGAATTCTGAAATACAATTTACAATTTCTGATCTACAAATAAATAATCTGAAACACAAATGACGATTTCTGAAATAAAAGTGACCAAACTGAAACACAAATGACTTTTTCTGAAATACACCTGACGAATCTGAAACACAAATGATGTTTTCTGAACTACAACTGACAAAGTTGAAATACAAATAACACTTTCTGAAATTGAACTTACACAACTGAAATACAATTGACGCATTCTGAATTAGAATTGATGAATCTGAAATACAAGTGATACATTCTGAAATACTTATGGAAAAGGTTTAATTGACTTTTCACAAAATTCACTAGTCACTTATTGAAACGTAAACGACATATATCAAATTAAAACTGAGGGCGAGTTCTCATGAACGTAAGTTGACATACCTGGCGTAATCACGTGATAAAATGGTTGGGTTTTATTAGTAACGCTCATAAGAACTCGCCCTGACTTACACTTAATACTAGGTACTACGCGCTATTTATAGTAGACAGTAGGTATACACGGAATTTATCTAGAAAAATCCGGCGCCCTACTTGAATCGAATTCTCCGAATTATTTACGCGTTGGGCATACAATTGCATTCTTAGAATCCGGCGGGGCTCTCGAGGCAATTTCGTAACAATGCCTTCCTCTCAAATCAGATCCATGTCGTCCCGATCTGACTCTACCCCGGATGCTCGCCTCAGGGAGTAGAGCTCCCCAAGAGAACAAATATTTCGTCTTTATCATTCTCGTTTACTTTTCGATCACGTTGACAAGGACAAAACTTTCGTTCTATCGGGGAGCTTTGCTCCCTGAAACGAAAATCAAGCCCCTGATGTATGCGTGGCTCTTCTTTGTCGTCATTGATGCTGGACGAATGGCTACCTGGTCAACTGTTTTTCCTGCGATTTTGTGGATGGTCGCAGCATTCGAAGCATTACTTTTCATGGAAATTCGCCGAGCGGCTTTTTGAAGGATAACTTTGACCTTCTGGATTAGCACTCCTTGTTCCTGGTCTTTCTTTTTTCGCTTGCCGAATTTCTCTTTCCTTCATTTCGCTGATCCATCCTCGGCTTCCCTAACCTCGTAAAACGATTTGAGGACGAGGTCACTCTCTTCCAGTTGCTCATTTCCCAGCTGTTCGGGACTCCGTTCTTGATCCGCATTCAATCGAATGCTTCTAACCGGAACTGTTTCTAGCTGATCAAATCTGAGGCAGTTCTTACATTGATCTAAGCATGCTCGGCGTTGCAAGTTCTCAATCGAAGGTTGACAGTCATCAGAAGGAGAGCAAGATCTCAGTTGTACTCTTCAGTCACGTTTGAAATGTCCTTTTCTTCCGCAGCGGTAACATGCGGAGCTTTTGTTCAAGTTAACCATTGAATGCTGAGAGTCATTGAAAGGAAAACGAGATCTCAACCGTACTCTATAATCACGCTTAAAAAGTCCTCTTCTTCCGCAGCGGTAACATTTAATGCTTCTTTTTAAGTTCCCCAGTTTGCCATTAATTTCTGTCAGTGGCTTTTTTTTTCAGGAATCGACACAACTCTAATCTTTGCTTCGGAAATCTTATAGGCCGACTCGATTTCTAGTGCCTTGATCAGAGCTTCGCTCCTATTTGATGGTTTGGTCATGAGAAGCATTGTCTGTATGTACAGGGTTATCCAACGAAAGTGCTTTTTACCTTATATACCTGTTAAGCCATTGCAACAGTCTCGAATTATCGTCAGTACATGGCCCACGATATCTGTCCGTCATATGGCGGTGGCTCAACTTTAATACCAGGTGCAGGCGAGGCTAAGACATTTCCTGACCTCAAGTCACATTCCAATTTTTTAATCTTCTTTTGAATACTATCTATTTCTTGGCGAACAGTTTCAATTTCCTGATGCACAGTTTCGAATTTCTGATGAACTTCGAGACGAACATTTTCAACTTTCTGATGAGCACTCCCGACTTCTTCACGTAGGTACTACTTCCATTGCATTCTTGAATTTATTGTCTTGGACTTCCAGAATTTTCTCGAGTTTAGTTTGCTTCTCAGAGATTACGGTTTAAGTCCATTCTCGCTGAAATTTGAAGTTTTCATGAAGCGGGTCCTGTTTTTCTTGTCGTCAAGCTTCTTGTTTTTGCAAAATTACTGCAAGTCGGTCCTGTTCGTCTTGTTCTTCTTCCTATCTTCGATCTATTTGTTGTTTGTAGGCCGGCCCCTCGGCCGGCCCAGTTATTTTTTGTCTTATTCTTCTTGTTAGCCTTCCTGCTGCTGTAAAAGCAATGAAAGACGGTCGTGTTCTTTTTGTCTTCGTCTTGTTTTTCTGTCTGTCTTTGGCCTTCTTCTGCTATTTTGTCGTCCATCAAATTTTTCATGAAGTCCGCCAACCTTTTATTAACTTGCTCCATTTCGGCTGTTTCTTGTCGTGTATTTGCCATAGAATACCTACTCATGGAAACCATATTATGTAACAAAGTTTTTGTGAATTTTGCATTCCTTTTATATGGATATTAATTAGATAGTAGGAATTAACGGAGATTTACATTTAGGTGATATGAAAAAGATCGGTGAATGGTAGATATGCAATAATAGCATTATAATAGTAAGCTGTTCCTCATCCAAGGTGGCGTAGAGGAAACGTATGTATTGTGAATTTCACAACTCTCAAAAGCGGTTGGAAATTAAATAAAATTATCTAGAAAATAAAAAATGCGTGTAGTTTATATAGGTTATGGTAATATATCTTGTAAATCACAACAAAGTAGTGGATAGTTTTTCATGATCGAGTTTGACATTTAAAATTTGGTTCAATTAATTTTTTTTTTCGCAGGTCTATTAATGAATCGAAAGACGCCAATACGATCTCCTGTCTCCTGAAGATTTTCTTATCGTCGAGAAGGAACCATGATTAATGAGTAAAGGCTACTTTCAATGATTGGCTACTTCTACAACAAATAGCAAATGTTGACTTTGTTCAACAAATTATGAAAGATAATAATTCCAGCATCTTTGATTTAGCCCATCTGCCTTCAAGTGATCAAATTTTAAATGTGATATTAGATTCTTAACATTTAGTTCGATAAACAAATGTTGTGTTATCCGCCCGTGGAACTATAAGTGATTTAATTGCGGTTTTTAACAAGCGCTTCTCAATTTTGGGGAAAATGTTTCCTTGTCCATTTCACGAAACATACTTCAAATCTTCCTATGTGCAAAAAGTCGTAGATAACTTTTAAATAGATAAGAGGTTACCTAGCTATCTACATAGCCACAAGTCAAAAATAATGAGCACGACTAATGAATCATCATTTATCTTATGTTTTTGAGGACATGAGATTGCAAAAAAATGTAGGTATACTAGTTACCCACTTTATTCCATTAAAATATTATAAAAATTGCATATTATACCTTATTGCACTTATCTTTTTGAGTTTTTATGGAAATCTTACTATCGATACAGTTTGAACAAAAGAAATTTTTGTAGTGTGATGAGCATGATGCGCTTAAAAACTTTCTTATACATTTTTTGTTTAATACTAAACTTTCATGAAACATTTTGTTTGGTTGTACAAATTGTGAAAGATATCTAATCCCTAATTATTTCTAAATTATATTTGTAATAAAGAACTCATTAACTTTTTTAAAGGTTAAACATTACTTGCCAATAAACGAAGCATAATGTATTAATTTGGATGGAACATTGGGTTGAAATAATTGCAATACCGTTATTTTCGGTTCTCAGACCTTTGTGGAAACATTTTCCCTAAAGCAATCGTGATCGCGAGTGAAAGAAGGATGATGCTAGTGCATAATGGACCGTATTTTTCCATCTTTTTTGTACGTATTGTGTATAAGGACAATGAATTCCTGTACTTCTTGTTATCATTAGTAACAAAACTTTTGCAAGCTGCAAAGCCAAAATAAACCCTATTGTTGTAATGAAGTGTATTTTGCAGATGTAGCTTATGTTAGATGCAAAACATATAAGTACCTATACATACTTGAAAAATTCGTAATTTCTCGTGTATAAAACTTTGTCAAGCTAAATAGGTATACGTACCAAAAATTTAAGTTTAGCATTCAATAAGCCGTTTCAACTAAATATATACATTTAGACTGTGAGATAGGGGCTGTTTAGTGGAGTCATTTTTTTTTGTCTGGCATTTTGAGGGCTGAATGTGACTCCTATTAAGCTGATCAGATTACGGATGATTTTAATGCCGGCCTCTCGTTCGAAAATTTGCAGAAAAAAAAATTGATTTACATGAAGAATTTTTTTTTAACGGTCTCAAATTTTCTGGCTTTTAAATAAAAGATTGACATTGATAAATAATTCACCCATGAAAAATATCAGATGCTTTTCAATAGCTGAAAAAATGGGGATGGGTGTCAACTTACAAGAGAAAAGAAAAGAACCTTCCGCGTTTACTTTTTGTCTGGCAATCGAGAGAATGAAATGTTTTGTTGTGAAAATAACGCTGAAAAATCGCCAGACGGTAATCACAGTTCGAAATCGAGTTTTCCGGCGAAACATTCTGTGGACATTTCGAACAGGAGGCAGGCATTAAAACCACTTATATTCTCATCAGCTAATAAACTAGTCACATTCTTCCCTCAAAATGCCAGACAAAAAAAATGACTCCACTAAACAGGCCCTATCTTAGGGTCTAATTCTTTACACGTCTGGATTCTGGTTTTATAACCGTTATTGAGATAAAAATATATCATTTGAAAACACGAGAAACTATCAGAATCCTGATGTGAAGATATCTTTAAGCTGAATAGCCAGAAGTCACGTTATTACCATTAGAATTCAGTAGGGTTACCATAGTATGACAATATTTTTGATGAATATATTATTATTATTGAAGATTTATAAAAATTGAGGAAACTGAATAAGGAGAATCAAATCGCGATGTTTGTATTGTACCGGTTGTAAATTGCACGTGCGATTGAGAATATTATTAGACTACTCCTTGATGGGTAACACCTTGCCCTTATGTTCACAATGTTACCCACAATGCCCATGTCGCACTTGTAATGTACCTACTGGAAGACATGGTGAGGGTTAGAATCCGTCTTGTTCCACGCTAGCAGTACAGAACGAAATTTAAGTTAAGGACTTAGAGTTTAAAAAAATATGTAATGACCAGTAATAATAAGACTTTGTAATTAAATGTAAGCATAAATAAAGAAACAATTTATTAGAAGAAATAATGTTTGCACAAGCCACGGCAAAGGAACCTCCTGGGTATTAATACCCACAAACAGGAACGAACCAACACCTGAGTCAAACAAGGCGCGCAGTGGCTTTTGGACACATTATGAACTGAAGGACAATCACTTTTTCGCACACATGTATTGGGGCGTCTTCGGTCTCCTTCAGAGACCGGTGATGGGACTTGGGTGGAGGGACCCCCCTTCAGTTCTTCTTCTTCTTGTAATGTACCTAAATAACAACTATAAAAATCTGAAGAAGTTGGAAAATAGCAAAACTGATAATTTAATCAAATTATCATCAATCAACGCTACCATTTGTAATCAAATACATTTTTGTAGTTATACGTTTATATTAGGCTGTCATGACTAAACTTTTAACTTTTACCAATATCGCACCCCGCACTTGTAATTAACCAGGGATGTGCCGTAGACTATGAAATCTACTTTACGCGGTTTGTCTACTCATTGTCTACGTGTTGTTTACATCCACTTTTTTCCATGTGGACTATGTAAACTATGTAGACAATGTAGACAACAGAGAAAATTTGAAATTTGAGTATTTTTTTTGAAAGTTTGCATTAATTAATATTACAAAGCAAAAAACAAAACAAAGCAAAAACAGAAACATAACCTCAAAGGCCTGCCAACTGTCAAAAATTGTATACTTTACGTACTTTACGCGTTGTCTACATATTTTACACGTTGTCTACATAGATTACATAGTTTACATTGTTTACGCGTAGATGCCCATCTCTGTAATTAACTATTACCTAGAAGTTTAGTAGGCATCAAGTTTCAAAAAAATACCAATACTTGGAGTGAATAGAGTCAGCATGGTTCTTTGTTTTTTTGTAGTGCGGGCTACAAGATATATCTGCCTTACTGGTGTGAGTGAGCGTTTTCACTATTGTGAAGGGTTTGAAGGTATATACCCACTTAATGTCTGCTGAGTCTTTTCTTCTAAGTCTCTTTATTCTTTGTGTTCAAGCATATTTCGAATAAGCATATTATAATTCCTTTTTTAATTTACCAGTAGGTACTTACATTTTCGGCTTCCGACTAGGCCTCAATGGTTCATATATCTCGAGCATTTCAATGTCCTGTGTGATAGAGTATCACCGTGCTGTTCAGTGTCGTGTACAAAAAAAACACCCTTCGCTCTGTCTCTGTGAACTGCCTTTTTTATCTATCCATTCAGGTTCTTACACCTGTTGGATGGCATCTCATTGAAATCCTTCTCATGGTCCAGTGGGAACTGGATTTCCTTCATCAGTTTAATCGTTTCGACGATATAGCGATTATTTCTTGTAGCACTACGGTTTTTAACAGAACCTACTCATTATGCTTCTTTTCAATCTTTCAAAAGAGACGAGTGAGAACTCGGGAGCACTCACTCCATTGCTCTATTGTCACGATGGCCCTTATTACTTTCTTTCAACTATCCATCTCATTACTTTTGCTGTTGGTTAATATGAAACAAATTTATTTTAATCAAACCTATCAACGAAAAAAAATTGTTTATTTTCTTGTTTAATTTCAATTGTGCTTGATCGATCATAGTTTATGCAGATATTTCTTTAAACAATCCATTATTGTAATATTTATTTTCTAATCATAACAGTATTTTATTTAAAATAGTGAAGAGAAAAACTTTGGAATCAACTCAGAGTGCTCAGGCACGGCATTTTATCGACTTCTTAATATGCAGTTAACATTAAGAAAAAGTCTACTCAACTTCTAAACAAGTAAGTTTATTTTATTTTTTTTTAATTTACAATTTTAGTGTAAGTTTTCTTATATTTCTTTCATGTTATTGCACTAGAACCCCATGGTACTTACCTAAAATTGCCATGGGTAAGCAATGAAGGCAATGAAGCCCTTTCCATTATCTTGGAGAGCTTGCTACTCCAGGAAGATTAAACGAAATTGTTTGATATTAAAGCTGATCCAAACTTCCGCTGTTGAACTATTATGTATCCAACATCCAACAAATATCTCAATGGTAAGAAAGGAACGAATATGTATTATTTTTTTTTTATCAACTACTCATTGATTGTTTGAGCTACAGAAAGAAATTGGAAATTTGGAGATCTGTTGATTAGAGAAGACCATATTATAGTTTATTGAAATTCAAAAAACTCATCACCAGGAAACCATCTTAGCAACACATGTGAATATACATACCTACCTAGAAAGAAATATTCATCACGTACCTATTCAACATACTGTAAGAGCTTATTACGTAACTCATTTTAGCCTGTTTGAGTTACCTACGTGATAAGTTGTATTATCGTACTAATGATGTAATGAGCTCAATACGTAACTAATTTTTATTGAAAAACGGCACTTTTTAAAATTCATTTATTCGAAATTGTAATTGTGAAAAATTGGAACCATTTCGAATACTTAGAAAATAATCTGGATTGTACATAAAATGTTGTATATCACACGTACGGTAATGCTCATTACACCACTCGTACGATTACCACGACTCGGTCTACGACCTCGTCTTGGCAATATTCCCCACTAGTTACTGTTATGAAGCTCATACCGTACTAGTAATATAAATAACTATTAGGTAATGACGTATATTATTGTTATGTAAAGTTTTGTAATATCTAGTGCCATATCATATTACACTTTTCATTCTAAAATAACTGTTGTAAGTATTATTATTTTTTTCAATTTACAAAACTTTAAATTATAATCTTTATGAGTGGGTATTTACTTGTCAAATCAAGGCAGCTGATACATTTTGCATCAAAACTTCATTATTATTCTTAACCAATGTTAAATTTTTATGGAATACTTATGCCAAAGAAAATACTTAGGTTTGAAGAAAAGACAGTATTGAAAATCCCAAAAATTCTTTAATTTATATACCACCGGTTTCGAAGCTTCAACGCTTCATCTTCAGGCATAAAAGACTAAAATTGAAAAGTACCTACCAAATGAGCACAGGTTGCATTATTTTCACTAAATCCCTGGAATTTTTTGGACTAAAATATCAACCGACCTTCCTGTTTTTAGACATGAGTATAGCACTCGAAGGAGTAACATCCCTTATTGACAAGTTTGCCTAATCCTCAGGTATTGTTCCTCCGAATCGACCTGATTTTGACAACTCTCACTATTATATTAAATACTTATGTAAGTTACAGTTTTTAGATATTAAGATTAATATAACCAGGTTTAGCGGTAGATTGATTTAGTGAAAATAATGCAACTTGTGCTCATTTGGTACTTTTCAATTTTAGTCTTTTATGCCTGAAGATGAAGCGTTGAAGCTTCGGAACCGGTAGTATATAAATTAAAGAATTTTTGGGATTTTCAAGACTGTTTTTTCTTCAAACCTATCATCTGCCCAAAAAATGGACCACATACAATCCTTAAAGTATACTTACCTTACTACTTATATATAAAGTTCGCCTTACGAGTCTAGCACTATGGAAAGAATGCGGTTAAAAAAATTGCAATATTGCCTATTTGACTTCCAATAGAAAATAAAGTTCGTTCCACCAGGGTTCATACTTGACCTTGAAACTTGAATAAAAAGGGTTGTCGTAGATTAATTTATATGACAAATTGAAATGAATGACTTCTGGTTTAAGAACCGACGAACGTTTTTGACGTCATTGATTTGTTTCAGTCAATTTTTATTTGTTAAACAAGGAAGGCAAATGCTGGTGGGAAGTACAAACCCTGGTGAAACAAACTTTACCTTATTATTTATCTATGTTACTCACCTACATTTATATAAGGAAAAAATAATATTTAAAAACGTTGCGCGCATGCCTATGACAGGCAGCATAAAGCTCGAAATGAATGGCGTTATTCCCCCTTGCCCTTCAGAGGTCGTAGTGCTAAACTCGTAAGGCGAACTATACATACCTATATTATATACAAATTCAATTTCAAATTAACCCAATCTATACATATTAATTTTTGTTTTTTCTATAATGCCTGAAACGAAACTGGCAGAGGAAAATTTGAAATTCTGTTCAAATTATTTGGTTTTATTTAAAATTTCATAGTTTCATTAATGCATTCCTTATTGTTTGACTAGAATCAAAGTTTACGTAGAATGTAGAAAATAATTACCTAAGTTTTATTATGAAATTTAAAGGCTGTTTAAATAGGCTGTGCATAAACATAATTTAAATATTCTGTAGGAACATAGGTATTATTGTAGTTAAACTATTCGAATCTCTCAATTATGTTTAAAAAACATTTAATTTGTGTTTGTTATTTTAAATTTATTGTAGGTATTGCTGTCTATTGTCTACTCCAGAGAATAATTGTGCTTATACTAAATAATTTAAATTTGTTATCTAGTGAGTACTTAGGTACCATCGTCACCAAAAGTAACTGGGACAGCATCCTATTAGCTCTTGTACTATCATATGAATTTTATTGTCAAATATTTGTCAAATTATGAATTGACCTTTTGTTTGGACGCCATATTGCGGTGCGCGAACATAGTTGCCAACAGTAGAAAAAAAAAATAACTAGCGTTCTGTCAAAATCCAAAGTTAGTGAATAAATTACATTTAAAATTTAAATTTGCCGCCTATTACGAATGTTTTTGGAAAGAAAAGCCATCAATTGTAGCTTTTATTGGGCAGAATAGAAATAATAAAATATCTAGTTGACAGCCCGCTAGTAATTTTTGGTTTTCTTGTTTTGGCAACTATGTTCGCGCACCGCAATATGGCGTCGAAACAAAAGGTCAATTAAATGCATTGAAATGAATGACATTAGAATTAGTCCAGGAGATTATTATGCATTATTTTTGTCCCAGATACTTTTGGTGACGATGGTACTTCAAAATTACCAATAAATTCTGGAAAAAAGGTGTCGCTACGAAAACCACATGCTTTTTTTTTGCTTTTTTTTAGAATTACATATCTATAACAAATCGATTTTTTTTTTATTTACTGGTAAATTTCAGTGTACGAGTGGATGTATTTTGGTGTACAACTATAGCATAAATGAAATATAGAAGCAGCTAACCAATCTATTTATATTAATTTGAAGTTTTATTTAAGAGGAGCGTTTAAATAAAATGTCATTTACCGACCTTCACAAATTTCTTTTCAATTCCAAATTTGGACTACTTTTCAGTGACATGAAGTTATGTTCATAACAATAATAGATTGGGGTATCTGTCGAAGCATTTTTGATTGCAAAATACGCAGTCTAAATAGTAAAATTATTAACAATTTTGTTGACAAAAATATGCAAATTTTGGTCATGGATTTAAATGAAAAAGGGACGAATACCTAGAGTAGCACACCAACAATAAATTTCCAAAATTTCGGATAGTAAAATGCTGGAAAAAATGAATAGGACTGAATTTTCGAAAATTATAATGTTTTTATCAAAAAATTAATCAAAATCTGCCAATCAACGAGGTGATTACTGTCATTCTCAGCAGAGACTCAAACCAAACGTGTGTTCAGCGCTTCTCTAAAAGATGTCGTTGAGTTCGGGAAGGGTAGTCACTTCTTTCAAACGCCAGTAAAAACAGTTTTACCCAGCTAAAATTGTGAAATACTATAGTGAAATTAATTAAACAGTGTATGCACGTGATCAAAATTAATGACATAAGCACGTCGCAATGTTGCCGCTATCAACTTTCGTTTTACTTTGACATACCATGTCTATTAAAATTTGTTATCACTAAAGCAAACAAACATCGATTTTTACGAACTGGAGAATGCCAACAAACCAAGTGACCACATGATGGTCAGATTGGATCCCCTTCGCAGTGGTAATAAACGACCGCCAATCATGGGAGAATAAAGAACTACCACAAGCAGACAATGCATCTCTGTGGTACACAGATGGATCCAAGCTAATGGAAGGAGCTGGACTGGGCATTTCCGGCCCTAACTTCAAGCTCTCCAAGGCATTGGGTAAATATCTTACAATATTTCAAGCCGAACTGCTTGCCATAGATATATGTGCACAAGAGTGTCTTAACCAAAGTCTCAAAAGAAAACACATCTTCATACTATCGGACAGCCAAGCTGCCTTAAAAGCCTTAAGGGCTTTCAAATGCACGTCAAAACTAGTGTGGGAGTGTAAACAGACCCTAAAAACACTAGCGACACATAACCAGGTAAGGTGGAGTGGGGTAAATGTGTTATAGTTTTTGAATAGTGTAATTTTGGCTCCCTCTCAAAAGTTTGCAAGTCCATGAAAAGAATGGAAAATACACACAGTGCTTGGCGAACACGCTCATAACTTCAAAATTTGATTATTCCATGGCATGTGGGTACTACGATTTTTTTTTTAAAACTATGTAACTGTATCACATTTACTCCATGAAATGGGGCAAATGTGATAATCGCCTGGCATCAAGGTATGGTATATAATGGTGTAGTTATATGGGGTTAATGTGAAAGAACAAGAAATTTTCTAATATTGCTGTTTATTTCATTACTTTAGGATGAAAAATAAGAACTTAAATAGGCACATTAATGTAAAAAAGGCTTGGTTGATTATATAAGGTGGTAATTATCAAATACAAAATCGAATTCAAAAATACCGCGTCGGGTCACTTTTGGGACTGGAAGAATTTTGACTATGTCCTGCTCTTCTACATTGTCCAAGTCTTCAAATTGGGGCCGAATAAACTTTTTATTTTGAAATTTCAAAAAATCGACAACCCAATCATCTCCAGCTTTTTCTTTGACTTGGCCAACAAAATGTTTTAGACTTTTCTTAGTGCAATATTTCACCAGAACCCATTTACCTATTGCTACTGTCTGAACATTGTGGCATTTTTGTCGTTTTCATCAACACCTTCTTCATCACTTGGAAATTCCTCAGCATCATCTGATGACTCCATGTAGGGCACTTCGTCTGATTCCTCTTCAGAGCTAGATGGTTCTTTTTTTTTTTTGTTTCTTTGCTGGCTTAATTTTTATGTCAGCCTTGTTGTTATTTTTTTCTTTGATACGCAATAATGCTTCGTCGCATGTCAAGAGCTCAGACCCTGGACATACTCTTGTCCTTTTTTGTTTTTCGGGAAGTGGTTTTTGTCGAATTTGGGCCAATAAAACTTCTTCAAATGACAAATTATTCAATGTCTGTAGAGAACCTGCAGGCTGTGATCTTGATAGGTTTGCAGGCTGTGATGTTTATGGCCCTGCAGTCGGTGAGTTGATGGCCCTGCAGGCTGTGATGTCGATGGCCCTGCAGGCAGTGATCTTGAGGGCCCTGCAGGCTGTGATGTTGATGGTCCTGCAGGCGGTGATGTTGATGGCCCTGTAGATACGGGCTCTGGTTCATCAAGTCTTTTCCGGTGAGATTCCCATCTCTTCAACGCGTCTGGCGGAAATGCTTCCTTAGGGATAGCATTTTTGTTTAGAGGATAGATGCCACCTTTACGGAAGCCATTTTTAATAACGTCTGGTGATATAGATTGCGAAGTTTCACAGAGAAATTGAGAAAATACTTTCTTTGGTATTTTTCGACCAAAGTTTTGACGCTGCCATGAAATTACTTTTTGATCCCATTTATTTTTGAAAGATTTGAAAACCGCCAAATCCAACGGCTGGAGTAAGTGGCTGGTATGAGCTGGTAATTTAAGAATAAGAACGTTATTGAAAAGGGCTGCTTCAATTATTTCCATGTTAATGTGGGTAGCATGTCCATCATATATAATAACAACTGGCCTTTCTTCGCCGATGGCGGGAATTATGGTTTTCAAAAAATAGTTTTTGAAAATGTCACTTTCCATCCACCCTTTTCTACTTGCAGCATAGACAGTCCCAGGGAATTCTGTGCCTTTTGGTGCTATCCATTGGTACCACACAAAAGCCCCTTTAAAAATAATCAATGGAGGTGCTTTACCGCCTGCAGCGTTGCACATGGTAAGGATAGTAGTATTCTCTCGCCCTGGAGAGCTTACAGTCCGTGAAGAAGCTTTATTGATTTGACCAACAACTTTACTTTTTCGGGGGTCTATAAACAGACTTGTCTGATCAAGGTTCCATATACGTTCTGGTTTGTCTATCAAATTATGCCTAATAAGGGCGGGTATTATAAAACTGCTTTGACAGTTAACTTGAAGTTAACTTTTTGAATTAGATGTAATTACAGAAGTTAACTTTAAGTTAACTCTCAAAGTAGTTTTATAATACCCGCTCTAAGTGTTTTTTCAAGAAGATCGAAATAGCCATAAATTAGAAATGGATCTGTAGCATTCTTCCTGGCATACTCAACGTTTTGCGGTATTTTCAAGCTAAGATTGTGTCGTTTTTTAAAAGCTAAAAACCAATCTTCTCCTGGAACTCCATCCTTGAAATTATTTTCCTTTTTATTGGCTGCAGTATAGGCTCCGACCGTCTGAAGCACTTCCTTACGAGACATTCCAAAACCCCATTTTTCAAGGACTTTCAATCCATTTGCCAATTTTACTTCTTCTTCTTCATTCAAGTATAGGTCGGACGACCTTTGCTGGTTTTAATTTTACCACGTAGGCCATTTACACGGCTGTATAAGGTGACATATGGTATGTTATATTCTTTATGTGCTCGGTAGATTGTAGATCTCCCTGCCTTTACATCTTCTATAGCCTTTTCAAGATCAGCTTTCTCATATTTTGATGTGCCATCAGTTTTTCGAATATATTTGCGAACCATTTCTGAAAGGGGTAAATGTGATATAGAACATATCACATTTGCCCCGGTTGGACTTTAACACGGGGCAAATGTAATATAAACAATAAAAAAACAATAAACAATTCCTAGTTAAAATTTAATTTGGGATCATAAAAAGACAATATATTATTGTTGAAAAATTAAATATATGAACCTTACCTGATTTAAAATGCACAAGATATAAATTATTTATCAGCAACGTGCGACTTGGAAAATTGTGTTTAATAAAAAGCTGTTCAAATGTCATTGGTATTAGGATCCAAGTCGGCAATACAGGTATTTTTTTTTGCCTTAGAGTAATCCTAGGTCTGTATACATCATGATCCGACAGATGGAACCTGTATAACCTTTTTCGTTATTTGTGGGCATGGTACTAACACTAACACATTTACTCCTTTATCACAATTACCCCACTTCACCTTACTTATTATTAAGTACCTATTAATACTACAACTATTATTATAGTGAATTTATTTAAATAGTGTATGCACGTGATCAATGACGTCGAAATTATTACCAATTTTTTTATATGCGCACTCGCAAGGAAATGTCCTATCACGCTCGAGAAGCGGCAAGTGCGCGGAAATGTCGGTGTATGTTGGTCTTGAAACGGTTCAGGTTGTAACCTGCAGGGAAAACCGTCGCAGGGAGTTTATTCCACAGCGATGCTGTTCTCCAGAGATATGAATTTTGATATAATCAGGTTCTTGGTGCCTCTAGTTTGACAGTAAATTCATGGTTACCGTCTGTTTGACGGGTTCGCCTGGTAGGCGCTACTCTCGGTGGAATCATACGTGCCAACTCTTCAGAGCATTTTCCGTGATAGTACCTGTAGAAGAGAGATAAATCGCCCACAGATCTGCGATGTTCGAGACCATCCAAGTTACGAGTAAGTGCGGGGTCATTGATCAGCTTGATAGCTCGTTTTTGCACGGTGTTCAAAAGCATTAAGGTATGTTTGGGTGCTGCACTCCATATATGTGAGCAGTACTCCATAGTTGGTCGAATCTGGGCTTTGTAGGGTGTCAGCAATTGGCTTGGTGTGTACAGATGTCTTGTACGAAATAGCACCCCCAGCTTTTGGGACGCCCTTTTAGCAATATCTGCCACGTGACTGTGCTAAGACATGTTGGTCTCTGCAGTAACCCCCAAGATGTTCAACTGACTCTGTAATGTGACAGGACTTCCAGATAGCATGATGTTTGGCTCACCGGTGCTGGTCTTTTTTGAAAACACAGCTGCTTGGGTTTTCTGCGCGTTGAACTGTACAAGGTTTTTGTTACCCCAGTCCTCTATTATCTCCAGGTCGTTATTTATCTGCGATATTTGAGTTAGTCTAAGATGATG